AAAAGATATACAGGGTATATTCAAGGACATGCAAAAGCAGAATGCATTTTAATTTTTCAACAATTGCAATGAAAACCCAGCAGAATGCACACAATTCTCTGATCATCTTTTCAAGCCCAACCTAGTTTTATTTCTTGGATTTTGCCTATATTTAAAAAAAAATGTAGTTTCCATGGGCTGAAACTAGTTTCAATTATTTAACACTTACCTGCTCCTTTTGCCAGCCTTTTCTGGAAAGCTACATCTCGAGTCCAAGCAAATTATTCCCTTCTCCAATTAAGAAGAAACGAATAGAACCCATTTCAGTCTGATACCTTAATTGTATCCAACATACAGAATATCTTCCTCTTTTGATCAGGAAAGAAACTATATGACAGCTGACCAATGAGGGTGTAGAGTATCACTGTGTTAGTACCAAGTAATTAAAATTAGTTTTATCCTGCAAAAAGATGACATTTCAATAACAATACATTACCTGCTAAAGTGTACCATGGCAGTGGTGAAAACAGTTACATAATTGGGAGGCTGCTGACCTCAAAATCAAATCTGGTACAAAAATGCATTTAACCTTGCTGGTAGATGGCTGTTAGATGTTGTGTTCTCTTGATTGACCCAAATTGTAAATGACTTGACTTTGGTGAAACAAAGCTCAAACCAAGACTTCTGGAAGGCAAGTGCATTATTCAAACAGGAGTACATGTAATTAGAGCATGCTCAAATTGCAGCAACAGCCTTAATCTGATGTGTTCAAATTCTCACAAAAATAAAATCCCTCTTGGTGTGGGACCTTTAAGCTCTCTTTATAGTCAGGTCAATCTACCTGAAAGTGGTGGCTGCCAAAATAGAGGAACAAATGTTTAGGAGAAAAAGACAATTCTCAAACCAACTGAAACAGAACTCAAAAGGTACAATACAATCAGTCATGTAACATGTAATATAGTTATACAGATGCACTTCCTCAACTAGTACAGGGTACATGAATATATGTATATTTACATGAAAATGCTGTCATATGAAGACACAATTGTATCAGATGAAGTTTGCAAGGAATGGGGGGGGGGCAGTTAGATGATCATAGCTCTAGAGAAAATATTAAGATGAAATGATGACTACATTTATTTACTTTAGTGATAAATATATATGGCCAATCAAACTGTGATTTAATATTTCAATTAAAAATTAAAACTCTTAATGCAGTAACAGTACAAATAATCACATCTAATGTTAATTAATTAATTAATATGCTGTTTAAAACAATCATTGAACATAACCATAACCATATTTTAGTAGGTCCATTTTTTTACTCAGGGTGAGTGTGGTTGGAATATTAAAAGTATTGCCTTTTCCTGGATTCACACAAGACTTACCACATATGCTCACTTAATTATGTACAAGTCAAAAAGTCAAACTGTAAGCAACCAAGATCCTAATCTGCTATAGCAGCATCCTCGATTATGTACAAGACATACAGACAAACAGGACAGAAGGACTACAATATATATCACCCCACAACAAAAACATGGATTGGCAAGATTTAGTAACACAACCTTTTTCAGCTTTCACTGCCATGCAATGCAATGCAAAGCTAAACCAAATACAAGGGAAATAAAATCAACGTGAAACAAAACCATGATACACCAAATCTAGGGGCACTAGATAGCAATGTTAGCATTACTGAAAGCAAATTAGATTAAAAATAAGAAGCCAAATCATACTTCTAAGAAACAAAAGTAAAATTTATGCCAGTCCAGAGGAATGTTAAAAGATCCATTTCTCTGTATATTAGCTGAACATCTTTCTTTTTATATCATCTACAAGATGACATAATTCTGATGATGTCAACACTTATTTTAGGAATGGGGACAAATATACATCATCCTGAAGAAATTAATCAACAAAGGGTAGAGGGGTTTACAGAAAATACTGATAAGGCCAAGTGGGATACAGTGTATGAGTTGGATCTAATTCTACAGAAAATTAACATGAAAACTCACCATGTGCCACTCCATCAGCTTTCAGCATCTGAATCTTGACATCATCATCATTAGCTGTGGCCATGGTGAATGGCTACTCACAAGTTGTGCTCAATTAGTTCTGAAAATATTCAGTATAGTAAATGCTTTTAACTCTATTTAGTTGTACATAAACTAGTGTGCAACAAATTCTAATATGATATATCACATACACCTGGGGTCTCAAACGCAAACCACCCTGAGGGCCACATGAAGGCATTTTTGATAGCCCAAATACAACACCACCTTTAACTGTTATCTCTCATGACACCATGTGACACCAATCATTTTGTGGGCCACAGGAAACAGTTTGATGGGCCATATGCAGCCTAGAGAAATAGGCTTATAATCCATGGGTCCAAGATTTAATACCCATCCAGGTCAATCCAGGAATGGTTGCCTCTATGACCTTATCTTTCAAGAAAGGCACTTTTCTCCCATTACCTTCACAAAGTGCTGTTACCCCCTCCCAATTCTAATAAATACATGCTACTGGTTCATACTTTGTTCTTGTGTCAGTTTCTTTACCACATTAATTACTGTATACCTACATAGCTTTAAGAATACAATTTGTGTTCACACCTAAAAACCATCTCAAGTGTGGAGTCTCCAAATTTTCCTGAATTTTTTACTTAGTGTTAGCTTTCATCCTGCCTTCCTATCACCATTTTGTTTACAGTAAGATGTGCATGTCTCCTAGATAACAACACTAATGACACATTCACTCTAGTGAACAGTGCACACATAAACCAGATTGAACACTGAGATAACAATCCCATGGTAAGGAGACTATTTGCATATTCTCATTAAGGAAATCTTACACTGGAATAATTATAACTGTTTTGACAAAGTCTAAAACTTCTTGCATGAATATGGAAAAAGATATGTGATTTTGAGGTTCTAGAAACCAAGAAGATGCACAGGCAGGTACCTACCTAATGGACAAGCAACAACTTGACCTGCAGATGTTGAAGCCAAGGAACAAACATACATTCAAGACTAATGTAGAGCACAGCTAGCACAAGATCAAAACAAAATCCTTCCTTCTTGGTAAAGGAGAATGAATAGTTAACCTGTCAAACAAAGCATGAATACTATTTTCATATATACATTACACATCGAAGATCATTTATGTGAGATAAGGAAACTTGCACAAGTACACAAAATATACAATTTTATTTGTTCATGCACAAGATAATGTCAGTCCTATGCCACAATAAAAAAATGTTTAGACGTTTGACATCTGTCTGTTGAAAATTCGAGTTAATAATCAATGGAATAGCTTTAAAATAAGAGGTAAAAGCAGCTGGATATCATCGTTATGCCAAATGGATCCAATGAGGTAATATTAAATTTTATGCCATATGCATTTCATTACTTCTTGATGCTTTAGCATTTGAATACAATAAATTGGCAAAGTTTCCTGTTACATTTCCTTTTCTGACAGAACAAGGTTTTTTTTTGCACTGAAAACTCAATTTCCTCAATGTATTGTTTTCACAAATGTTATTGCAGAATGTCAGTTGTTGAAGGATTGAATTATTCTTTGATACAGATGTGCTAATTGCTCATGCCAAAATTATGGTCCCTGTTCCTTTTGGAGCACAGTTTGGTGGTAGTCTCCCATGATGAAACCAGTTTCTTTTTATTTTGATCTATCAAAGAAGAGAAAATCAACATAGCTGCCTTGCATTCTGATTATGAGCAGCTGTTGTCTAATGTACCACCTTCCAATGTACCTCACTCCTGCCACCACAATGATTCTTCTCTATAAAGTCTGGTTTGTTCATTCAGAAGTGTGACACAATCCATCAGCTGATTGGTTTAATTAATTTCCTCTGCATCCTCCTTATGTCTGGTGAATATTTAATTAGCTCAAGAATAAATGTATGTCTGATAAACTTATTTTGGATTTCAACTGGGAAATCAACAATGATTCAGTGCTTGTCCCAACATCTGAGTCAAGACCTTTCTTGTACAGTTCCAGTTTAAATTGACAGTTATTACTCTGCACATAAGTACTGATGTACATACTCTGTCATTTATAGATTGCAACAAATGGAAAAGCATTCCCACATTCAAAGGGCTGAAATATTCTAGTTTAGTTCAACAATTGTGCTGATGCTGACAATACAGCTTTCCTCAAACACCATTTTTTCAGCAATGGCAAGAATTTGGACAGATTCCATCCATAGTAATATGATACCCTGGTTAATTTACCCTCTCCTGTCAACTTGACTGTGAGGGTGATGCTTTCTTACTGGTTGGTATGAAATACTGTATATGTCTAGTTCACATCCACATAATGACCAACAACACACAGTTTATGCAGCCACATGAAGCTTAATATTTATTGTGTGTCATTAAAGCACAAGTTGATGCAGCCACATGTAACTTAATAATGACTGTCATTTTCATGAATATGAATTTATGAATATGAATTTATGAATATGAACATGAATTTATTAAAAATGCCTCATAGCTTCATGTATTTTTTCAGCCATAAATGAACATTTTAAATGGCTTTATGAACAGTCCATAAAATTGTTATCTCACAAAATGATACACCTAAAACAAATTGGGGAGGGACTAATTTCATAGGATGTAGCATTTTAAAACCAACAAAATACATCATAATATAATAATGTCTCCTGAAATTTTACAATTTCTTAAATTTCTTTAAGTTTTGTGCAAAATAATCATAATCAGAAATATGAATGGCCTTTTGAGAACTTTGGTGTAATTTTTTTGTTGAAGATGTCTGCTTATAAGTGTTAATCTTCTTATTACTGATCCATGAACAATGAAGCCATTAAGTCTTATTTATGTTTGTCTTTAATGCATTCTTTATACAACTGTTGCTCAAACAATATCCAGCATATATTTGTTCTTTAAACTGCATACACAACCAAGCATCAAACAATGCAGTGATTGATAAAAGATTCTCACCATAATTTATAAATCATCATTTCAAGCACATTGCCTTATTGCTGTGGTATCCTAGTGGTTAGAGTGTCTACTTAAGATGCAGGAGGTCATGGGTTCGAAACCCATCTGAGTAACACCAAAGGCTTAAAAAATGTTATGCCTCCTAACTTCCTCACTGCATTTCCTGAAGATGCTTGTCTGAGTTCTTCCCTGCCAGGCATTTATATAATTGTCACACTTCAACAAAGGACAATACAGCCATATTGTAGATTGCTGGACATTACATTTTCTTTAACAAGGAAATGCAGGTATCAACATTTAGCCTTATGGATGAAACTGCATCATTTGAAAGCTGAAGGCCTTGATTGCCAACAGTCCTCATTAAAACCTTTTTCACATTAAATTCCATAATATCGAGTAAATGTAATTTCCTCACATGCAAAAAATAATGGCAATCAGAGCTGCTGAGTATATCCTATTGAGTTATCATTCATTATTTTAGTGATGTACAGCACAGACTTTTGTTTTTATAACCAATCATTAACAGAGGCATAAAAGTTCCAGTTTTGTTTCTCTTTTGTTGAGACTGGTACCAATGAGATAAATGAGGACTGTATCACTATCCACTGAGAGAACAAAGTCGATGACAGAATTTCCATGAGACAACTCAGCATTAAATCGAACACATAGTGGTGTCATTAATGGTCAGCATGTGCTGAAGGTCCTTCTGGGAATGACATACTGTCAGCAGATCTTCACTGTCTATATCCATCTATATCCATGGTCATATCCTGCTGAAGAAGTTGTGATGTGATTATGATTTTTAATGTAGCTTTGACAATGTTTCAGTCATATCACTACAAGTTCTGCAGAGTGGCAGTTTATAGTGATGTCTAGCACTGGGGCACCATGCTGTACATATGTAATATCATGTCCCACCCAGTCACATTATCCTGACGCCTGGAGGCAGACCAGTCCTAACACTAACCTCTTAATGCTGAGTATCAAGTGAGGCAGCTGTTAGTACCATTTTTGTAAGTCTTTGGTGTGACTCGACTGGGGAATCGAACCCACGACTTCCCGCATCCAAGGCAGATGCTCTAACCACTAGGACACTAGAATGGTTTGCTGAATAAGAAGCTGATCAATGTTACTGCCTAAACAGAAACTTATAAGATTCTTGCTGGTTGATGTTTTCACAATGAAGGCCTTGCCAAATGTTTTGCACAGATCACATTTTTTACTTCCTTCAAGTGAAGACAAATATTTCTCCTTCAGGCTCTTGCTTTGTCCTTGTAGTACTTTTGGTGTGTCTGGAGTAAAGGAATAATTTTCCTCATATATAACAATGTGACAAATTTGGAAGGTGTCTAATCAACTTGTGAAGTATCTCCTTTGATATGTATAGTACACTCTGGTCTCCAATTGAAGCTGTGGTTTCCAATTGAAGCTGTGGTTTCCAATTGAAGCTGTGGTTTCCAATTGAAGCTGATGTCATGAACTTCATAATGGTAAATTCTAAAACTAAATCTTTCATGTCTTCCTTTATGGCATCTGGAACTACCTTGAAATTTATAAAAAAAAAAAAAAAAACTGTTGACATCTTTGTGCAAATATTCCTGTGTGATATCTCACATCTCCAGAAACAGATACTGCTTTGATGAACTTGATAAAAAAAATGTCACATCAGCTGAATTATTGGTATATGATTTTGTCTCATATGGCTTAAAACTTTACTGCTATTCTTGTAAGAGATTAGATAATTCACAATCAATGTAATCATCTTCACTTTCCTTTCAATTTTCTCCACAATTTTCTCTTTCATATCTTGCATGATGTATTTTAGTCCTCTTGATTGTTGACACTTTTCATTCTGTTCAAGATTCATGTTACTACAATCACCAAGTGCCATGTCTAATAGACCCTCTCTAGCTATATTTCTATGTAGCATGAATTTTCCTATCTCTTCTGTGGCTGAATTTAACATCTTTTGATGCACCTCTGAATTCTCCTTATATGTATTTCTTGGAATGGTGTAGAAGCTTCATTACATACATTTTCTTTGATGTATTGGACCAATTGTTCTTACAGTACGAGTATTTTTGAGTTTTAAATTTTGTAAAGGGGGTGGAGCACCATATTTTCAGCGCTTAGGGCCTTGGAAGCACTGACCAGGTCACATAATTTTTCTCAGCTGCTCTGCCAGCTAATGTGGAAGTGAATAGATAACACAAAAAAACCAAGACATGTAAAGCTGCTGACAATGGCCTACTGTTTTATTTTGATGTCTTGATGTTCCCAACAGTCACTGATTCATTGCAATCATTTTAATCTCATTTTTCGCAGTATGTGAATAAGACCAATGATGTGTCACATGAATTTGGGCTTTTTCAACTGCAATACTGAAAATTTTGTAAGAAATTTTGTATATTTTGTTCTGGTTAATTTTCTAAGCTGAAAAAGGTTTTTTACAATCTGGTAGTCAGGTTCAAACAAACATTTTTCATTTGTTTCACTCAGTTCAGCTTTCTTTAGAAAGTTGTCAGCCATTGCACTAATTTTAAAGTTAGTGTAAGCAAGTGGGTTTTCTAAACATTATATATATAATAATTTTTATTTTTCTTTAAAACATAAGGAGAAAAGTGCTAGGGTTGGCAATGAGAAACAGGGACAGAGCCGACTGGAAGCACATGTATTTTATTTTGGGCCACAGTGGACACATCTGATTAAAGTCAGAACAACACAGTCCAATGTGAATATCTGACAAACTAAAATTTCATGTTTTGGTAACTACTGGAATTTTCAGTTTTGTTATTAGTATCCATAACATTGCATAATTGTTTTACTGATAGTTATTGTTCATAATTATATATTTCAAATGATATTGTCCCTTTTAAGAATTTAAAAGTTGTGATTTGATTGGTGAATCTGACAATGTCAACAGAACATCACCTCTAATTGGTGTCCATCAGATCCGATCAGATTGCCAGTAAACATTAACAGTCAACTCCACCTATTTCTCTCAGCAAAAGCATGTTTCTCTTAACAAAAGTGTGCACACTGAACGTGGTGCCTACAAGAAAAACAATGCAGTATTCTAACTCTGCCAAAATTGATTAAGTTAGACAAAGTACCCTGCAGACTAAGATGAGTCAATTTTAAAAGCAAAAATAAAAAAGATTCACTGAGGAATAAGAAAAACAGATCAGTAATTATTCAGTCCCAAGTTTTTCTTTATCCATTTCTGTCAACCAGCACCCTCTTTCTCTTAGGCCTTCAACTCAGTTAAAACAATGTTTGCATTTTAGTCCATCAACAGGAGCTTTAAGCTTGGATTTAGATGCATCAAATGTGACTTACTCTGAACTGTTCAAAAACCAAGAACTGATGAAAAAATCAAACTGTCAAAAAGTGTTATTGTGAATGGGATAAATTTAAAGGATTACACTGTAGATGACACCCTCTGAATTGTCCCTAATAAAACACATTTTATTCCAAACTTCATGCAGATTATTAAACTTAAACACTGACTGATCCAACTCAAACCCTTTCCTTTAAAATGTGATGGATTATCCCAAAATGTCAGGTAAATATAATGACACTTGCTCAACAGTGG